ACTTTTATTTACCTTCCAAACTTTTTACTTTTGTATGAGTTAGGTTAGAGTTCATTTAAGCATAAAGTTAAGAGTATGAATTCGTGTGTTTGTAAATGCAATAAAGTCGTTAATAAAGATTTCTGAATGTGACCAAATCAAAATTTTATTGAATTAATCTTTATCTTTTAAGATGCTAATACCAATACACAATATATAACAACTTTTAAAACAAATATTCAAAGGAATAAAATTAAATTCATATAAAATCAAGGTACAACATTACGGTTTTTCAAAAAAAAAAAAGGTACAACATTACGCCAATATTATTTACTGCACAATATATGCAAAAAGATTATCTGGTTCAATTTTTTTTAATTTTTTGTCCTTGTGATGTTTATACCCAAAATTCAATGAGTATAAATTTTATTTATAATAAAGGAAAAAAATATTTGATTTATCATTCTTCCAAAAGGTTGAACCCCAACCCTAAATATTTGATTTATCATGGATGTATAGATAATACACCAAGTGACCAACATAAACTACAACTTATTCGGAACTACGCTTGAGGACCAAGTGTAACATCATGGTATTGAAATATGGTGTTGAATATTATACATACATACATACACACACACATATATATATATATATATATATATATATATATATATATATATATATAATTGTACATTCACTACTAGTTATCACTATTGAGGCATATTCTTTTATTTTATAATTAATCAATAATTTATTACATATTTTTATTATTTATTTACACTTTTAAGATGTACATTTTCTAGTTTAAAAGATTAAATTTGAAAAGGACAAAACACATAATATTGGGTTTTTAATTGTCCCTTAATGTGGTAAATACACCGGAGTAAATACAGCAAGGTACGTAGAAAAGTGTATGTATATTTGGTCTGTAGACGTAGGATTGTACAAGTATGTTTGTTGGTTTCAATAGTCGAGTTCGGGAAGAGGTGACAATGGGTCGATGCGTCCCGAGCTCCTTAAGGTTAGGAAGAAATGCCAAAAGTCTCCCTTTTTTCGCAATTAATGCATTATTTATAGGAGTTGATAAGGGCACATGTTCGGCTTTTAGCATGTCTGACACGTGTTGCACATGCAGTCGAGAGCTCGAGCGGCTGTGTAATGGGGTTCACGTGTTGCGATATTCCTGACTGGCCATTGGTAATAAGAACGAGTTGAAACCATGAATCTTATTATTTAAATGCACTCCAAGTGGCCTTGCTCGGGATACTCGTCTCGACACTACAGGGTCAATACCAATCTCTAAGGTAAGGTTGAATGAGTACATTGGCTCTTTAATTGCTCGACTTTTGCAGCGAGGTCGGGTCGGTCGAGGTTAGTAATAGTTCCTCACGGTAACTAGACGGGGTTCCGAATAGCGAAATAGGTATACCTTACGTATGCTCGAGGAATATAATATTACCCATCATCCCTCAAATTTAAAAATATTATTTAGTCATTCAAACCAATAAAATGAATATAATTTAATTATATATATAAAAAAAATTATTGTCGACAAAATAATTAAAAAAAATTATTTGATAAAAGACTGACAAATAAATGTATAAATGTAATTTTTAATTATTGCATGTATTATGTGTTATGTGAATATTTTAAAAATAACAATCGGCATGAGTGTGAATCGTATTTACTTCACACGAGTAAATACCAGCGGAGGTCCTCTGATTTTGGTGGCATTGTCATTTTTAATCCTCAACTTTTAAATCAACCACTTTTAGTCCTCTTACTTTTTGTTTCTAGTCATCTATGGTCCTTCCATTAAACTTGACCATCTAATGCCGTTTTCTCAAGGATAATTCACCTTTCATAATTAATTTTTTAATTATTATGTTTGCTGAGTGCCTGAGTCATACCAAGATATCCTGACGTCGTTTTGGCACAACCATCGTACCAGCTTTTGTACTCCATTTTGATTCATGAGCTGGTTTTGTACACGCTCAAATAGCTGGGGAAACCATTGTTTGACTATTCTAATGCGGAAATTGAACATAATAATTAATAAATTAATTATGAAAGGACTGAATTATCTTTTAAAAAACAGCATTAGATGGTCAAGTTTAATGAAAAGACCATAGATGGCTAGAAACAAAAAGTAAGAGGACTAAAAGTGGTTGATTTAAAAGTTGAGGACTAAAATTGGCAGTGCCACCAAAGTCGGAGGACCTCCGCCGGTATTTACTTCACACATTATTGTATAGAGTATCATTATAAACCATTGTCAAATAATACTTGTTACAATCATGTATGGTATATATAATGCTATCGAATATGGTTTATACTGATGTCAATTGATATTGTAATTTTTCTATATTACTTGGCCCTTCCAACATGATTTTTCTTGATTCACCCGTGCTTTTGGCTTAAAGGTAAGTGGTAAGTGCTTGATCTTAACACAACTTGCCACCTTATTAAATAAAATCTTAATATTGACCAAACACTTTTTCTAAAAACAAGTGTAATAATTTATAAGATAATTTTTATCACTAAAATACCGTATTCTATCACTTTTAAAATTGAGCCCTACTATCATACCATCAAAATTACAATTCACAACTGTTTTCTTCATATCTATATGTACAATTTGAACCCACTAAAAAAAAAAAAAAAAAAAATAACAAAGCTAACACCAACACCAAATTGCCGGTCTAAGATTGTAAGCTATTATAATTATAATTATTTTATTTAATTAAGAGTAATTAGTAATGTAATTAAAACACTCCGTACAAGGAAACTAAGGATACAGACACCCCAAAATTAGTGGATTTTAGTGGTGATGGGAGTTAAAATTTCTTTGACATCATAAATACACAATTAATTAAATCCATGATTGATTCAACAGTTGTCGGTGATTGAAATCTTCATTAAGACTACCATTTTCCACCTGGAATATAGTAATGTACAATTAATCTCCCAATACTTACTCAAAATAATCTCTGTTTTTATAAACATCTCCATTATCTTAATTTTCTATCATTTTACAACTAATGATTAACAGTTTTTATTTTTTAAAAGAACAATAATATTGGGATAAAGCTATTGGGACATTTTTTTTTTTAATCTTTCAAAATCTTTACGTTATGATGTAGAAAAATAAAATTTCTTTTATTCATTATAAGTTATCATGAATTAGTTGATCCCGTTTTGTTAAAAAATTATTTATTAATAAAATACGAATCATATATTATCACGTCAAATTAAATAATTAAATAATAAAGATTATTTTAGTGAAAATTTCCCGTCTCTATAGATTTATCCATAATATTATTGCATCAATCTTTCCCACTACTGCACCAACTTTTGTATTATATGATGTGAATTTATTTAAGACCTAATTCTTAAAATGGACCCTTAACAATTTTATAATTATCTAATTGGTCATTTACTATCAATTCGTCGGAAATGGTTCTTCAAATATGTAAAACTTTACTCATTTTAGTCCTTTGTTATGTACACTAAGAACTAAATTGAGTACATTTTTACATAGTCATCGATGGATCATTTTGAGTGAATTGATAATTGATGAACAATTTGAAAATTATAACATAATTGAATGACTATTTTTTGTATTTTCTCTTTATTTACTTAAGTGATCGATTTTTCCAAATTGTTAATTGGCATTGATATTTTTTACCTTAATACGAAAATGTATGCTATTAATTAAGTTGCATTGGGTACTATTCACAATTGTCCTATACTATCTTGAGCAACCAGATATAAAATGCATGGTTGTGTCCAACGGAAAATTATGTTGTGGAAGGGTCCAAAATAACGTTGTTTTGAAGCGCCGTCTAAATAAAAAAAATAAAAAAAATTACTTCCTTCCTTGCCGTTAATTTGCCCTTTGTCTTCAGAATTTGTTCTTATATATTCACAATTTTAAATCTCAATGTACAAAATTACAGAACTCAATATATATTCACAATTACAGAACTCAATATTCACAATTACAGAACTCTATATTCACAATTACATAATTTTATATTCACAACTTCATAACTCTATATTCACAATTACAGAACTCCATATTCAACAGTATATCACAAATTTTGAACTCTATATTCACAAAAAAAAAAAAAAAAAAAAAAAAAATCATTGGATGAGGAAACGGTGCCACTAACGACACCGTTATTCCAAACGCGCAAAGTTGCGTCGTTTTGGACCTGGGTCCATGGCATAATAATTGGTCCAACTATACAAGACAAATGAAATTTGTGCCGATTGATACAAATTTGTGCCCATTTTATATGTCCTACCTACTATTCATTGGTTAAATCAATTTTTTTTTGTTTATTTTTTTTTTTTTTAGTATTTTGTACTCATTTTTAAATTTATTTTTTTTTTGTTGTGTTTAATAGTACTTTTAGTGTAGTTTCTAAATATATAAGTTTTGTACAAACACTAAACTTAATATTATGAAAATTTGAATTAAAAATAACTTCAAGCCTAACCTCGTTAATTGAACTATACACATAAAAAAAATGGGACGGAGGGAGTAATAAATATGAAATGAAAAGTAATTACATGTAGTATAGATCAAACTGTACGGTGTAATATTAAGCACAAAATCCATATATCAACCAAAAAAAGAAAAAAAAAATTACTAAAGGAGGAGAGAAGAAACAACTCAGATCACTAATTACTTATTTCTTGCGATCATACACTGAACTCATACATGAAAAATTATATTGAACTAAATAAACGTGATGAGTTAAAGTTGCAGATACTAATCATATTAAAATTTTGTAATATCTAGAAGATATTTAGCCTTTTGTAAACTTGATCATCTCCCACTCTAATTTGATATGAATCAGTAACGCTATATGAAGGGTTTAATGCTGTCTAAAAATATGCATTGTTTCCATAATTGGTCATTTTTAGAGGATTTATTTCATCCCCTATTTAAACACGTAGTCCATTCCAGACTCTCATCATCTCATTCACATTCTTTTTAGATTAGAGTTATGACGACTTCTTCTCCCCCGCCTAGCAACTCCTCGAACGAGGGAGAATCTGCTGAACGTCGAGATTTCGAGTCCCAAAGAATATTCTCTTGCAATTTCTGTAAGAGAGAGTTCTCGACTTCCCAAGCTCTCGGGGGCCACCAGAACGCGCATAAACAAGAGCGTGCCTTGGCGAAACGGCGGCAAGGGTTGTTGGACACGGTGGCGCCGTACGTGAGCCCGCACTACCACCCTTACTACCACCCCTACTCGGCGTTTTCGTCGCATTTGCCGTTCTATAACTCTTTTGGGAATCGATCGTTGGGCGTAGTGCCCAATTACTCGTCTGCTATTCATCGGCTGCCGTCTTCCTATCATCATCCCTCGTTTTTGGTGGCGGAGAATTCGAACTACTCTCGCTTCGGCGGCGAGAAGTGGTCGCCGACACCGAGATCGCTGCTAACACGGCCGCCGGAGAGTGTTCAAGGAAATAATGGCGGCAGCGCTTTTGGGACGACAGGTTTCGTCGCAAATTCGTTTAAACTGGAGATCAATAAGGGTCAACTTGGTTCTGTAATTAAAGTTGACGATAATCATACTTCTGCAGATGATTCAAAAAATGAAGGTAAAAATAATTCTTTATTGGGAGATGATGAGGATAAGGGACAAGATCAAGATCAAAATCAAGTTGAAGAAGATGATTCAGGGATTGATTTGAGTTTAAAGCTTTAATATTTATTTTTTAAAAAATTCTTTCGATTTTTTATTTTATGTTTTGAATTTCCTATGGCACAAGGAAATATTATACTCCGTATTTTGTTTTAGGGAGTAATATATTTTTATTTAATTAAGCTTCCCGTATGTAAACTTAAAGATTTCAACATTCTATTTTTGTGATAGTCACTTATATATTATATCTCGAGATTGGACAGAATTAACTAATTCAGCACATTCTAATAAGATAAACTCATATACTAACTAAATATAACAACAAATCACGAGTGTCTTAATTACGATCATGATTTGTATTTCTTTGAAACCCCGGTGAAATCGAGGCGTTATTTTAGCTCGACTTTTTGCTCATTGGGTTGGTGTTACTTGTTCTAGTATCGTTATTTGACTAGTTTTATATTATTTCTTCCTCTTTAATATTTTGAAAAAAAAAAAAAACCCTAAAAGTGTGTGCGCATTTGTTTATATAATAAATTTAATTTCAATGTCAAAATATTGATAGCATTTGTAATTTGTACAACTAATTCTATGTATGATCGAAGTATCCTTGATTTTTTTAATAATAAAATTAATAACTATAATATGGAGTGTGATGGCATTTTCAACTAATTTTTCAAATAGATTACTAAATGTAGTCCTAAAGTACAAAGCGATATACATTTAGAGATTAAAGGTGTTTGATTTGATAATTAACTAGTAGCTAATAGCTGATAGTTGATAGCTGATTGATTTAGCTGGTTTGACCAACAAATAATATTAATTAGTTGTAGAAATATGTTCCGTAAATTAATTGATTACTCTTAGCGGGTTACATATGACAAATGACTAATAACTACATTCATAATAATAATAATAATAATAATAATAATAATAATAATAATAATAATAATAATAATTAAAGTAAGCCAAATCAACCCTAATTCATTATATATATATATATATATATATATATATATATATATATATATATATATATATATATATATATATATATGCTCGACGACACATTGGTCTAGAAGTAATGAAGTATGACCCCAATGATAAACAATCATTATATTATGAACCATTGTCCACCTTGTATGATAGACCATTAACATAAAATACATTTTAAATACATTAAATGTTCATTTTTTGAAGATACATTATTTAGTAATATATTAAACCATGAATTTTCAGTGTACAAATAATGTACTTTTGACATATTAAAAATAAATATTTATTCATGGTTTATATTACAATGTGGACCATAGTTTACATTATAATTTGCTAATAGTAATAACATATGTCATATATAGTAGGGTAGATCAAATAGTATAAAACTTAATCTAATGTTAAACATTTTAATATAAATAATATTTTTTCTTTTAGACCAAGTTCATACTAATCTTTAACGTAACTCTAATTAAGTTTATTAAAAAAAAAAACATTTATTTTTATACCAAATTCAAATTAGTGGATTTTAGTCGTTTGGAACTCTGATTTAAAATATTTCCCTTTTTAAAATTTCTTGAACTTCATGACATAAATCCATAATTGATTCAACAGCTGTTCGTGGCATAAGAGATTAAGAGTACCATTTTCCAACTGGCATACAATTAATCTGACATTACTTACTCAAAATAAACTTTGTATCATCAACTTCTTATCTATGTGTATTTTCCAATTTATGTGTAAAACTAAATTTAGAAAAAAAAAAAAAAAAAAAAACAGTAACTATGACATAAAAGGGGTAATTGAGTGGGTAAAGTATAATTCTCGTACATGATGGTAACGAGTTTAATTCTTGCTAATACATTTCCGGTCAAGCCCGTTGCACATGGTCTTCCTAGTACGATTAACTTTTCTATGTGGTTTGTGAGCTATTACATAAGAGCGGGATTTACCATGTTGAACACAATGACATTCAAGTAGTGACTTTGGATTTCCCCTCGTTAAAAAAAAAAAAAAAAAAAAAAAAAAAAAAAAAAAAAAAACTATTGTACCAAAATTTGTATTTCTAATGTGAATGCCTATGATGGTTAAAAAGGTGAATTTATTTAACTATATTATAGCAAGACTAATTAATTTATAAGTAATGAATAAATATGAAAAATATCACAGATCATATCCAATAGTGAAATAGCATATATCAAAAAAAAAATTATTATTAGTAAAACAATTACTTAATTACTAATTATTGATTAGTAATTACTTATTGAGCTAATACCACAAATGGTCATCGTCTAACTATTGAGCTAGTACTCATTTTAGTTAACTTTCAATTCGACCAAAACACGTATATTGACTTTCATTTTTGATAGTCCCCTGTTAAGATTTATATTAAAATGGTGTTAAATCTAGTGGTATTATCGTCAAATTAATTAATATAATTATGATGACCTCTTTTAGAGAATTAAAAATCGATGACTAGAAAGCCAGTAGTCATAGGACTATTTGTGATTAACTCTTACTTATTACGGAGAACTTATTACTTGTGATCATATACTAAACTCAAAATTTCGTACATGGAAATTTGAACTAATTAAATAAATGTGAAATAATCAGGAGTTGAAGTTGCAGATCCATGCACTATAATTTTAGTCATATTTTAAAAAATTTGATATTTATGGAAAAATACAATGATCGAGTGACGACCGAAATTATATCATTTTTTCTAATTTGGAATGAATGTGTAGCGCCATATGAAGGTTTAATTATTTTCCAAAAATGTGTATCATTTCCATAATTGGCCATTTAATGTTTCGAGAATTTATTCAATCCATTATTTATTTATTTATACATGTTCAATTCAGATTCTAATTATCTCCATAAATAAAACTTTTTACTTATTCATTTGGATAGAAACGATAAGAAGTAGGCCGTTTGGTTCACGGAATGTTAGATTACCTTAGGGAATGTAAGATTACCTTAGGGAATGTTAGATTGCTAGGAATGTTAGATTACTGGGAATGTTAGATTCCCGTGTTTGGTTAAAATTGAGGTATGTAATATTATCATGTTTGGTTTAGGGTTATCTTTATATATATATATATATATATATATATATATATATATATATATATATATATATATATATCTAATATCCTTAACATATTTTCATATATTTTAATAAATTTAATCATTAAATTAAATAAATAAGATAACGGTATCATATTAATAATAATAATAAGCTAACATAAAATATATATCTTTAAATAATTAGAATTAAAATGACAAAATTCATAAATATGCAAGGTTATCTTACATTACCTAACAAAATGAAGGGAATCACATTCCCTTCAAAATCCTATGTGGAGGGAATGTTACATTCCCTGGGAATGTTATATTCCCTCAGAGAAAATGAACCAAACATAGGAATGTAAGCTCGGGAATGTCACATTCCCTTGGTTATATAATATAACCTGAACCAAACGCCCAATAGCAATTCGGGATGGATCCAGAGGTACCCACCCAGCAAATTATATCGTGCACCACGGTGCATAATCGATTATGCACCGCGCATCAAAACGACGTCGTTTTGTTAAATGAAAATAAACGGTGATGGAATTAATTAATCCGGGGGTCCGTGTTAATTAACTCAATTAATGAACAGACGCCTCCATGGAGAAAATATGAATGATAAAAGGATTGCAGGGAACCAATAAATAAGAAATAAATATGCAGAACACAAAATATTTAACGTGGAAACCAATACGGTGAAAACCACGAGCCTTTTTGGGCTAAGCCAAGCCGTAATCCACTAAGTTGTGTAGTACATGTACATAGGTAAGTAGGCCATGGCCATGAAATATTTGGAAGAAGAAAGAACCTATACGTAGAAGAGAGGTCCTCCCGTTTGAGACTGGCGTGAATCTTTATATAATGCTATTTGTGCAGTTGTAACTTCCCGTAACATTTCCTCTTTTCTTGCCATGATGACCTCTTCTCTTTGACTAATATATTGTTATTATTATTATTATAAGATAATAATAATAATAATAATAATAATAATAATAATAATAATTATAATTATAATAATAATAATATGGCATACATATTATATTATTCCATCAAACGGCATTCGTTTTTCGTCGTTCCGCACCCTTCCGCAAAAAGTAACTCTATTATTCAGTTTCATTTCGTTTACACTACAGTTTCAATTCAACACAACTACAGTTTCATTTTGATATAATTACAGTTTCATTCGATATTTATAGACTCAAATATGTGAAAATGTTATTTAATTTTATTTTATATACCTATAGTTTCATTAAAACACAACTACATGATTATTTTGATATAATTACACCTTCATTGTACAATATACACTCAAATATGTGAAATGTTATTCAGTTTCATTTTATATACACTGCAGTTTCATTTCACTACAACTACAGTATCATTTTGATATAACTGCAGTGTCGGTTTAGATATATTGTAATGTCAGTTGCTGTTTAATACACCAAACAAGCGGACTCCGTTAACAGTAACGACAAGCCGTTTCTTTACTTAAAGAAACGGCGCCGTTTTTTTTGCAGTCAACAAATGGTCAAATAGATAGAGGACCAAATCATGTCAAAATTACAAAGTTAAGGACTTAATTGGTTGAAATTGAAAGTCGAGAACCAATTTGTGAATTTAGCTATAGTCGAGGGACCATTTTGGGTATTTATTCCTAGAAATATTATAAGAAAGACATAAGGAGTATTTGCCATTTATTATTTGAGAGTTGCACTTGTACAATTAAGCAATATTATATTTTTGTGTGCTGGTATTCATTTCATTATGAGACTAATAGGATAAAAGAAATGAGACATGATTTATTATGATGTTTGATCTGAACCTGACAATTTTATTAACGTAAACATCCTATTAAAGTGATAAAACTATGTTTGCATGATTTATCAGACAAACAAATCAATGAAATGAAATGAACATGGCTGTAAGTCTGATAAGTCTACAACAGTGCATAGCAGCCTTGCAGGTTTGATATTCTGGGGGAAACTTTATGGCTTCTATGCAGTATATATATTTCTGGGAACATCTCATCCAAACAAAACACCATTTGAGGAAGCATCAAGAAATGAAATGAAAAAACATAGGGCAAGGAAAGCAGGATGAAAAGAACTATGAACTATCCATTGACTAACCGAGTGTGATCAGTATTCTTAAAAACTTCATCATCTTCTTGGATTTTTGCTGCAAGCCATCCAATAATCAGAGAGTAAAGAAGAATTACCTTGTTACCAGTATCCCCGACAAGAGCAAGATCCATTCTTGAAATGATGGAAGCGGCTTGAGTCTCTTAAAATAATTTCGTGATCAATGATCTTAGAAATGTATGTCATGGCCAAGTGACAATCTCCACAAACGCGTAGGTTCTTTGTTATCCTGATTGGCATCCCAGGAGCTGATGTGAGAATTCCATAAGCGAGGGCCAACTTTTCGCTATGTTCAAAGAGAAGATCGCCTTTCTCTTCATCATCCACATCATGTAGAGCAAAGCTCGTCTCTGGAACATACCCCATTCCTTTAATGCGATGAATCAGGTCAGCGAGGAGATTGTATATTTTATCAGACATTGGGTGCCTTCTATCTCCCACGAAGAATACTGCAGTCCCCTTCTTTCCTTGAACCCAACTACATCCAGGTCTCTTCTTGATCCCAGAGTGTTTCATCAGAGACCTTATCCTAGCTACATCTTTCCAACGTCTGGCATTAGCATATATGTTTGAAAGCAGTGTATAAGAGCCATCGTTCTCTGCCTCTAATTCTGACAATTTAGCTGCTGCATATTCCCCGATCTCCACATTCTTATGAACCCTGCAAGCACTCAGCAAAGAGAACCAAATTATTGAGGTAGGTTCCATAGGCATGTCCTGTATTAGCTTCATGGCTTTATCCAAGCGACCAGCGCGACCTAAAAGGTCTACCATGCAAGCGTAATGCTCAATCTCAGGAATGACTCCATGATCTCGGGTCATGTTATTGAAGTAATTCATTCCTTTTTCAACCATGCCTGAATGGCTACAGGCATATAGCACAACCAAGAAAGTCACACCATCAATCACCAGTTCTCCATGCCGCATCTTCTCAAAAACTTGGAGAGCATCATCGCCTCGACCATGCATTCCATATCCAGTCATTAAGGATGTCCACGAAACTGTATTCCTCTGAGTCATGACATCAAACACTTTTCTAGCTTTATCAATGTCCCCAGATTTCGCATACATGTCTATGAGACAATTAGACACAAATAACATGCAATTTTCATAGTGGTTGCGCAACACATATGCATGAATCTGCTGACCAACCCTGAGAGAAGCCAAACGGGCACATGCCATCAGGGCACAGGAAATTGTAAATCCATTTGGTATTATTGAATAACTATCATCCTTCATCATCACTGACAAAAGCTCCAATGCCTCATTGGCATCTCCATGCTGGGCATATGCACCAATAATGACAGTCCATGTCACTACATTACGATCTTTGCAATCAATAGCATCGAACATGGCACGTGCTATTTCTACATTCTTGCACTTGGCATACATATCAATAAGACCATTAATCACCATTAGATCCTCTTCGGGATCATTCCCTTCTAAACTCAACATCTGTTTGATGGCATAGCAATGAGTCTCTTTCCCCTGACGCAAGGCTCCAACAGCAGCACAGCCAGAAAGAACAGAAGCAAGGGTAACAATGTTAGGCCTCGTCCCAGAAAGCCTCATTTCCTTGAAGACATTAAGTGCTTCATAGCCAAACCCCCTCTGTGCATACCCTGCAATTACTGCACTCCATGTGATAACATTCAACTCAATCTCTTGATGTCTCATTCTTTCGAATAACCCTAGAGCTTCAGTAAATCTCCCTATCTGGGAGTACCCAGTGACCATTGCATTCCATGAAACCACATCTTTCACCTCCATACGTTCAAACACTTTGTTGGCTTCATTCATCTGCTCACACTTAGCATACATGTCTACAATTGCATTTCCCACAAAAACGTCTTCGTATAAACCTCTCCGAATAGCATACCCGTGAATTTGTTTGCCTAGCCGCCATGCCTTTGCAGGAGCACAGGCAGGAAGTACATTCACTAAGCTAATCACATCAGGGCGTAGCTCAATATCGCATTTTGCAATCATCGAACCAAAAACCCCCAACGCTCTCCTAAAATCTTGACTATGCGCATAGGCTGCCACAATAGAGTTCCACGAAATAACATCGTCAATTCCTCTCACAACCGTTTCGTCGAACACCTTGTGCGCGTGGTCCAGAGCGCCACACCGGCCGTACATGGCGATAACGCCGTTGCGTACGAAGACATTGGCGTCATGCCCAGTCACCACGCAGAAAGCGTGGACAGACTCTCCTCTTCGGAAGGAAGACAGCTCGCCGCAAGCCTTGAGCACGTAAGGAAAAGTGTACCCGTCGGGGGTCCACTGGAGCCTCAGCATCTCGCGGAAAAGCAAAAATGCGTGCTCGTAGGAACGGAAGAGGACGCCGCGCTTGATCAGATTGTTCCACCAGAACACAAGATGCAAGCACGCCGTTTCCGGGTCGGCCGAGAGGCCGCCGGCGACTACGAGCTTGGCCTTGATAGAAGACTTGCATCGTTTCAGAAAATCGGAGAACGCTGAAGAGGATGGTGCCGAAGAAGAGAAGAAGTAGGTAATGGTAGTAGAAGAAGAGCGGTGGAGGACAGCGGAGTTCGAGAATAGAAGCTTCAGAATCGGCGGCGATCGGAAGAGCATTGAATCTCATGCGTCAAGGCGGGAAAACTCCATTTCATCGACCTTAAATGACTACAAAATAGTAAAAGTAAAAAACTTGAAGGACTAAAGTTGTAAAAATGCCACTTTCAAACTTATTTAATTTTATTATTATTGAGTTAAAATGGTGAATTTTTCGGTATTTCAGTTATTCTTCATGTTTGGTTCATATTATTTTACTTTTTCAAGAGGATATAATATTCTCAAAAGAACAATTATATTAACTTATTATATAATACATATAATATTTAATTGTTTTTGTAATTGTATATTTTAATACGTCATATTAACTTATAAAATAATTATTTATTACTTAAGCACTCGAGTTTATTACTATCACAACATGTTCAACAATAACAAATGAACTCTGAATACGATAAATATCTAAAATGACAACATAACATAGACTACTAGATTGTCACCTAATGATTCCACATAACAGAATCTTTATTCCCCAACAAAAGTAGATAATATAAAAAGATACTAATAGAGAAGAAAAACTAGATCATCTGGTTAGAAGTGTTTCTTCACTCTTTCCTCGTCCTCGTTTTCACTCCAACAGCAGAGTAGGGTTGATCTGGGAGATCCACAACTACCAGTACTAGTGAAGCCACAGTACATAATTGATCCTCCCTTGCCAAGGTCTTCATAGCTCATTTCTCCACAGGCATATCCTTTCACATCGAGTTTGAACACAGAATCAAGCTTCTCTCCAATGGAGTCACAGTGCAAAGCAACAGAGAATTCAGCAGGTTGGAAGCAGGACAACACTCTCTGGATAAGGGCATCCAAGTTCACATCTTTGAAATCATAACCCATGGCTTCAAAACTTGCATAGCTGAAGCCATCCTCTGGGGTCACATGAATTGTAGAAATTGCGCCGCCCTCAACAGCATTCATTGAGTATCCGCATGGTTCGAAATCAAAATCACATATCTCTGATCCAGGAAGAATTTTGCTAATGCCAGAAGCATCAGTCATCACAGCAGCAGAACTAGATTGTGTCTTGAAAAACACAGATGCACTCTTCTTGTCCAAGCCAGTCATGCACATCTCCAAGGTATAGATGGGAAATGTGTTTTCTGCAGATTCAGCAGATGCAGAGTAAACATGCCATTGCTGCTGTTTTCCAGCACCACCCATCACATAGGCTTTGCTACCTGTACCGAGTTTACCAAAGTAACTGTCAAGAATGACAACTTCTTCGGAGAAATTACGATGCGGATATGGCTGAACCTCAGGAAAGTAAAAACTCCCACGAGTGTATTTCACAGATTTCACTTTGAGGCTGAGTCCATCGGCCAACTCTAGGATGGGAGGGATAGAGAGTAACAGCTTTGTAGTGCCACAAGTTTTAATGATAATCTTGTATGGGTACACAAAGAGGCTGGATTCAGAAAGAACATAGGAATCAACTTCATTATTTGATAATGATGAGACAATAGTGCACTCAGCTGGTTTAAGAACTTTGTCCAATTGCTCCTTAGAAAGAGCTCGGAGACCCCAACCTTCAGGGTCTGAAAACATTCCAGCTTCAAAGAATGAGATCTCAAGCCTCTTTTCATAGCCTTCAAATCCAATTGCAGAGGTTGACAAGGCCATCTTGACTTAAATCAAACACAGAGATGTTTGTGTTGCTCCAAAAGAGAGGTTTTTGTTGTTTCAAAAGAGAAAATGCTTGTTGTTTTAAAAGAGAGAATAGCGAGGACGAGTAAAGAAGGAAAGTATGAGAGAGCAGATGATATCTTTTAACTAACTATAATTTAACCACTGATTGTGGTTATCAAAAAACACGGGGGACCTCAGGATGGTTTGCGAGCGCACTGCAAAAAAAAGCAAATGAAGATAAATTAGGATTATGTATCATCTATAAGTGAAAGTGAAACCATCACAAACAATGGAAACAATGAAGAACATTTAAGTAAACTCACGTTGGAGTAAGCAGCAGTTCTGAATTTCTTGATTCCTCCGTTTGGTCGAACGTCCTCTACAGTGTAACCAAGGGGAGCCTCGTAGGACAAGGATTTACTACTGCTAGACTTCTTTTTCCCAGCTTTAGACTCCATCAGTTCATTACTCCTGCATGTTGGAATCAGCACAGGTAAATCAGAACAAATCATTATATTGTTTCAACGTAATAAAGGGTAAAATCATAGCGTAAACCAATCATAATTCCTGCTCTGCCAGAAGCTCAGATGCTAGCCTCCCACAAATTGCAGAAACTAAGGGATAACAAAATGATAAGATTTAAAAGCACGCAATTGGAGTTATCCTATAGTGTAGTCAAGATGAACTCAAACAGTATTTAACAACAAGTGCCTAATGATTCATTCATTAATCATTCCTAATAATCTAAGAATCTAATATTAGAACGAAGGACCCCGCTACAATCAACACTAAACCGTGCATTTGTACTTCAAAGACCAATATCTTTAGAATTTTCAAAACAGAATCCATTTGAGTTAGGAATAAATTCGACAGAGCAAATATACCAGGCCAGAAATTAAATAAAACGCAAAGCATCAAACTTAAAAACGACAAAGATATAATGTTACGAATCAATATATGCTTTTTGAAAAAAAATCAAAATCAAAATAACGAAAACTGATAAATGACATCCAAAAAATATACATTAAGGCAGTCAAATTCCACATCTCTGCAAGAACAATTAAAGCTAGAAAAATAAGAACCGTAACTTACAAATCAATATGGAATATGAAACTTTTAACGATCAACTGTCGTTTAATCCTCCTCTATCAAAGCCTTCGAGCAATCAAAATTAACAGTAACCTCAATCGGCAATCCAACCAACATGCACGTCACGGAATGCAAGTCAAACTAATACGAGTAACAACAGCAGATGATTGCCGTCTTCCTGCTCCGTATGTAAAGCGGCAGAACGAGATCGTAACCCTAGCAGCGGAGCTTTCTCGACGGCAGAATAAGCGGTTAGAAAAAGGGAGGGAAATTTTATAGAAAAGGAATAGCTTCTCAGGACCGTTTACGAGACGTGAATGAGCGGATGAATTTGCAAGACGCAGGGCCGTTTATATATACGCGGTAGGGTTGGGCAGTAGTACGCCACGTATGTTGGAGCACATTTACGGTCTTACCCTTCCGGAATTGTGTTGGAATTTGGATTCCTTATTTTTTGGTCAAGTGTCCAAAGCAGATCCTAAATGTAAGAGACATATTAAATTCATATTATATTCAAACTAATTTATATTTACATTGGACCAGTCCAATTAAGGAACAAAGTACGAATCAGGTTGATTTTTCCATACAAGGATTTAATGTATGCAATGTAACGATGGCTGGACTAACTTTTTGACTAATCTGTCCTCGTCTAATGTAACTTGAGAAAAATGCTCTTTAATTTCGCATAAAAAATAGGAAAAATGACATTTTTTTCCTTATAAGTTATATGCTTATAGCATTTTTTTTTCTTGAGTTATTCATGTATCTATATTTTTCCTATCAGTTAGGTTAAAAGTGACAGTTTTTTTCTCATTTATTGTTAAATGCACACTTTAAATACCCTTAAAAATAAGTATTTCATTTATTTTTCTTCTCCAAAAAATGATTGCTTATATGTATAAATGACAATGGTTCGATTCGAACCTAATCGTACACTGTAGCAACCGAACTGAAACAGTAGGGACATTTCTGGTTACGATTCAGAACCGTAAAAAAAAAAAAAAAAAATGTTAAATTTGGAATGACGGTTCAATCCGAAATTGGAACCTTCATAAAAGATTCTCGTTCCGATTTATCATTTACAAGAACCGTGGACTGGAACCGAACTGGCAGTTCAAACCGCAACTGGAACCTTCCTAAAAGGTTCCCGTTACGATTTATCAATTTCCATAACTGTAAACCGAAATCGAAGCGTAGTCATATCTACTCATATGTGGAATTATAATAAATGCGAAAATGATCAAACACTATTGGTAAATGATAAATCGGTTCGGTTTGGTTCCAGTTTCAATTTTGAACCGTTGATTCAAAATTTATTTATTTATGTAAATTTTATTTTTTATCGTTAAAATAGTCTAAATTCAACAATTATTTTATTTTATTTTATTTTATTTCGGTTCTAAATCGTAACCAAATCCTCTCTACTATTTCGGTTCAATTGTTACAGTGTCCAATTAGGTTTGAATCGAACCGGTACTCATCCCTACATATAAGCAATAATTAGTTGGAGAACAAAAAAAAATACGGAGTAAATGAAATACTAAGCGGGAGAAAAATCGTCGCTTTTAACATAACTAAGCGGCATATATACATGAATAACTCAGGTAAAAAAAGTGTTATAAGCATATAACTCGCGGGGGGAGAGGGGGGGGGGGGGGGGGGGGGTTGCCATTTTCCCTTCTAATTATTATAAAATACATATTTGATGTTAACCGGGTGCCATTTCCCCTTCCCAATCAGCTTGAAAAATATAATCAATAATTTACCGGGTACCTGAAGGTAACTTACAAAATAGTGTAATTGTATTTTTTTTTTTTTTTAATTTAAGGTTCTAATTTGAGTTTTTTGAAGTTGAAAGGCCTAATTGAATGAATCAATATAGCTAGCGGACTTATTTGACCCTTATCCCTTTTAATTTTAAAGTTTATTGAAATACATGAAAATTATGTTAAGAGTATTAAAGTACAAAATAATAATTACAGAGTATAACATAAAAGATAACTCCAAAACCAAACAAGTTTATATTACATATTTCAATTATAACCAAACACATGAATCTAACATTCCCAACCATCAAAGATAATTTAACATTTCATGAACCAAATGATTTTGTCGGAATTGTCGGTGACAAAAAAAAAATTACATTTTTGTTTACTAAACACTCATAACCATGGAGCGTTATGTTGTGCAACCGTGTGCACCATGCATGGTGCACACGGTTGCAAAAACGACGTCGTTTTGACGTCCGACTTAAAAAAAAAAATTCAGAATTGCATAACTACACATCTGTTACTTCATAACTATACATCCAGAATTGCATAACTACACATCCATAACTTCGTAACTATAAATCCATAATTGCATAACTACACATCCATAACTTCATAACTATACATCCAGAATTGCATAACTACACATCTATAACTTCATCACTATAAATCCAGAATTGCATAACTACACATCTATAACTTCATCACTATAAATCCAGAATTGCATAACTACACATCCATAACTTCATAACTATACACAGGCCGGCCCAGGGGCATGGGCAGCTTGGGCACCTGCCCATGGCCCAAGTCTATAGGGGGCCCATAGATAATGTATTAATATTATATATATATATATATATATATATATATATATATATATATATATATATATATATATATATATATTAATACGTCGTACTTAATAGATAATATATATTTAAATAAAAAACGAATAACAGAGGAAAAGAGTGGAAGACGGAAAAACGGGAATACGAAGATGAGACGCCGCCTTCTGCCTCTTCTTCGCCACTCTCCAGGTTGCCGTCCTATGTCTCGCGCCCTCGCCTTCAGCCTTCGCCAGCCTAATCTCAGTAATCTGCAATTGCAAAGGTATTTTATGATTTGGGAATTTAGGATTTAGGAACTGTACTCCAAAAAAAAAAAAAAATGATCTACAGATTAGGTTTAAAATTGCAAATTAGGCATTGCTATTTGTTAATGTAATATGAATTTATGAATTGTTATTTGTTAATTGTTAGGATTTAGGAATTACATATTACATTCTCACAAAATTAGTAAGTGCATATTACATTCTAAATTAGGAATTCTTATTTGAGAAAGAATTTTTTTTTGAATGTAATATGAATTTAGGAATTATGAATTTAGGAATTTTTATTTGTGAATGAAATTAGAAAGTGCAGACTACATTTAAAAAAAAAAATTTGATTTGTCAGGCCTGCTATTACTTGTCCTCATAAATTATCAAGTTTCAGTTCAGTCTGGTTGGCTCAAACTCCTTTGATTTCATCTCCACATTCTCCACTGTGGCACACTGGCACTGTAGACATAGCTAGACTACTATAGTTTGTTTGTTTAGTAGAAAAAAATAAATGCAATGTTCATCTTACAGGCCCGGCATTACATATTATAGCGTATTACATTTTGAAATTGATTTGAAGATTACATTTTGAATCGCAGATTACATTAAAAAAATGAAAAAAAAATGAAATTGAAAAATGAATTGCATATTACATTTTGAAATTAGGAATTATTGATTTGTTGTTTAAGAGTTGGGAATTAGGAATTTTATTTGTCTTTTAATTCTATTTCTTAAGATTCCTATGTAGAATGAAATTGTAAGTTTATTAGGTTTATTATATGAAGATTGCTTTTATTTTATTTTATTTTGTAAGTTGTGTAATGTGTTTATTCATTTATTTATGTAGGGATTGAAGATACATCTTTACCGGTTGGTAGAAATAAAGATTGTTGATTGGCTATTTCAATATTCATAAATTTAAATTTTTCATATAGGGGCCCTTTTTTAAAATTTCGCCCCGGGCTTATAAAATGTTTGGACCGGCCCTGACGTCTAACATTCATAATTACATAACTACACGTCCATAACTTCATAACTATAAATCCAGAATTGCATAACTACACACTCATAACTTCATAACTATACATTCAGAATTGCATGCATAACTACACATCCATAACTTCATAACTATACATTCATAATGTGAAACTATAACTGCATAACTATACATTCAGAATTGCATGCATAATTACACATCCATACTTCATAACTATAAATCCAGAATTACATAAATACACATCCATAATTTCCTAACTATAAATCCAGAATGTGAAATTATAAAATTATGAACATATATTTACATAACTAACAGCAATTGAAGTTGATTTTTTTTTATTTAAATAAAACGACGTCGTTTTTACATCCGTGTGCACTATGCATGGTGCACACAGATGCATAACATAATTTGCACATAGCCATTAATCATAGATTTGGGCCCGTAACTATTAATCTTAGATTTAGACTATTGCATATTTAAAAATTTTAGTCATAGTTATAGGGAAAAAAAGATTAAATAAGCCTAAAAAAAAATTTAATTAGAGAATATGATTTTTAATTGAAAGGGTAATCAAATTTTATAATTATGTTCTAAAAAATTGTCAACTAAAGACTAACATTTGAGAGTACATGTAATAGAACTCGTCATATATAATAGGTTCAATCAGATAGTATAAAATTTAATTTGGTGTTAAACATTTTCATATAAAAATATATTTTATTTTTTAGACCAAGTTCATACTAATCTTTTTTCTTTTCTTTTTTTTTTTTAAAAAATTATCCGAGGAATGGCCAAGCCCGGTGACTCAGTTCATACTAATCTTTAACACTAATTAAGTTTATTTAAAAAACAATTATGTTTATACCAAATTCAAATTAGTGGATTTTAGTCGTTAGGAACTCATTTAAAATATTTCTTCATTAAGAGTACCATTTTCCAACTGGCATACAATTAATCTGACAATACTTACTTAAAATAAACTTTGTACTGATCAAAAGATCAACTTTTTCATTGTCATTTATCTGGCAAATTATTATTGCGTGATGTTCACACAGTGTTGCGTTGACCATAATAAAAAGCACATTTTTAATATATTAAAAATACATTATTCGTATATTGAGTATACATTATATAAAATGATGTATTTTCAGTACTCAAATAATATATTTTTCCTGAATACATTGTACATTTTTAATATATTAAAAGTATATTATTTGTCTACTGAATATACATTATTTAATAATATGATCCACATAATTATGTGACCATGGTCCACAAAATAATGATTGATTTTATTTGTGGTGCAATTTTCCAACTTATATATAAGTAAGATTTTTTTAAAGAACAGCCAATTTTTTTTAAAACAATTTTCCAACTTAATTATATGGCCCGAAAGTGATGGCCGACCAAGTGCACACATTCGGTTTTTTTTTTTTTTTTTTTTTTTTTTTGTCACTAAAAAAGAAAATAAAAACAGTGACTATTGTACCAAATTTTGTATTTCTAATGTAAATTTATTTAACTATATAATATATTATAGTGAGACTAATTAATTTATAAGTAATGAATAAATATGAAAAAGAATTGCATGTATCACAAATCATATCAAGTAGTAGTGAAATAGCATATATATAAAAAATTAATAATAATCATAAGACAATTAGTAATTACTGATTAGCAATTATTTATTACTTGAGATCATATAATAAACTCACAATTCCATAAATGAAAATTTTAAATACTTAAATAAACGTGAAATAATCAGGAGTTGAAGTTGCAGATCCATGTACTACAATTTTAGTCATATTTAAAATTTTGGTAAATTTGGAAAAATATTTACTGACCGAGTATGGAAAAAGTATTATCATTTTTTCTAATTTGGAATGAATGTATAACGCCATATGAAGATTTAATTGTTTTTCAAAAATGTGTAAAATTTCCATAATGGGCTATTTAGAGAATTTATTCGATTCGATATACTATTTATACCTGTTCAATTCAGACTCTAGTCATATCCTCGAGTCAAAAATCTTGGCTTATTTGTCTAGATGGAAGCAATAATTAGTAATAGCAATTCCTCGAATGAGGGAGAGCCTAATGAACGTCGAGATGATGATTCTTTACCAGCTAATAAGAATTTCTCTTGCAAATTTTGTAAGAGAGAATTCTCGAGTTCTCAAGCTCTCGGTGGCCACCAAAACGCTCATAAAAGTGAGCGTGCCTCGGCAAAAAGGCGCCAAGGGTTGATCGATACCTTTGTCAACTCGCGCTACCATCCTTACTATCCTCGCCCCTACTCAACTTTTTCGTCACAAATGCCCATCTATAACCCTTTGATCAATAGGTCCCTTGGAATGCCCAACTTTCCTAGGCTGCCTTTCTATCATCAACCGTTACTTTTGGGACAAAACTACTCTCGCCTTGACATGATAAGGCCAGCAAGTAATCTGATGATCAATAATGGTCCTTTTGCGACGACTTCCGTCGCAAATTCATCTAAACTGGATATCAACATGGGTCAATTTACTTCTACGATTAAAGTTGATGGTAATCGTACTTTTGCAGGTGATTCAAAAACTGAAGGTCAAAACAATCCTTTATTGAGAGATGATAAGAAGGGAAAGGATGAAGAAGATGCTTGGGGGATCAATTTGACTCTGAAGCTTTAATTGTGTTTTTTTTTTTTTTTTTTCCTTTCAAATTGTTATTTTATGCATTGAATTGCATTTGCAATGTTATCTTATTATTATTATAATCAAAGTAAACTTTTTTACTTTTGTTTTAGTTTTTTTTTTAATTATTTGAACTTTTAATTAAATGCATGTTTTTGTTTTTAATTTAATTGGATCGATAATATAATGCTATAAAATACACTTAAAAAGAAAATAATTTAAATGTATAAATATAAATGTCCCAAGACATAACTCAATAATAATATGTGTAAAGATTAGAGCAAAATATCTCAACAACGTTGACACAAGACACATACAAATTCGATTTCAATATGTAATTTTATGGGCACCAGTATAATAAGCTCTTCGTTCCTTGTATTTTTGACTTAGCGCTACAAAATGAATGGTATATGCAAATCTATAGTAAGCAATTGATGTGAAAGTACATTTTTTTTAGTACTACCGATGTGAAAGTAAATTAATAAAGCTACAATAGTGTTCATGTGTATAGAATGTGCGCGCATGTGCTTACGTGTGCAACGTATGTCATTGTGCATGTATACGTACGTATGCACGTGTGTTATAAGAACGGTTGCAGGAGGCGCTAGGCATAGAGGAACGTTTAGTGCCTAAACCGTCTAGGCGGTTAATTAAAAAAACAGTGCACGTGTACTTACGTGTACACACATAATAAAAGTTGAGGTAAATTTTTAGAATCCAGGTAGTATTTTTGTAGAGTGAATTCCATTTTTGGTCCTACTATTATAGGGGTGTTTCCAATTTCAATCCACTTTAATTTTTTTTGCCACTTTACAACCACTGTTATTGAATGTGTTCCACTTTTAGTCCACCGTTAATATTTCCGTCAAGAGGCCGTATAATCAAAGGGTATTTTGGTCTTTTTATGTTTGTCTCTTTTCTTTTAATCCAGGTGTTTCGTCCTCCTCCTCCTCCGATATTCGAAGATGGCTCTTCGAACAACGAGAATGGGAAGCCAAAGCTACATCGTTTCGTTCGTTCCAACATGGGTCGGCGAGGTTTCTTAGGTTTTATGTTTAATGTTCTCATTTCTTTAGTCAAACATAGTCTTGGATGAGAAGAAATGTCAAAATACCCCTAGATTATATGGCCTCTTGATGGAAATACTAACGGTGGGACTAAAAGTGGAACACATTCAATAATAGTGGTTCTAAAGTGGCAAAAAAAATTAAGGTGGACTAAAATTGAAAACGCCCCTATAACAGTAGGACCAAAATTGGAATTCACTCTATTTTTGTACGTACTGCAAAGGTCTATCTTTCATTTTCAACATCTTTTACTCTCCAATATTTTTCTTTTATGTTGTAAAAATGTACTAGGTTCCTCTTCAAAATAATTATTTCAATTCATATTTTACAAAAATAAAAAAAAATTATTTTTGACAATGTTATTCTTTGAAAAAATAATTTCTTAAATTAACTTAAAGTACATAATTTGTTAACTACAAATACATAATCTGAATTAAGGTATGTTAACGGTACTACAAATACATAATCTGAATTAGGGTTTACAACACGCATGATAGACCTGATCCACGATATAATTTGCAATAAATATTCAACAGTTGTTAATCAAACTGGAATCCAAAACATTAAATTGCATCACCAAGCCTAAACCTTTACGGGTCACCATAATTAATAACGACAAAGTTGTCGTCTAAGCCTCTTCTGGAATAAGCATCTGATCATCTACTGTTTGGGGAGCTGTGGATTTCGTCCCATTTGCTGCTGCCATCTCGCCATAGAAATAGAAAAAGAAACCCCAAAGAGAGAGCGCGAGAGCGATACCCTTCTCGGCGTGGAAGGTTTCCTTGAAGAAGACGACGGCTAAGATTTCAGTGACGGGGAGGAGAAGGGTCGTCACTATACCTGAAAACAGCGACGAAGCACAAAAGATGACTCCAATGGCTCCCACGAAGAACAACTGCCAAACCACGGCGCTGCATGCTACCACCAAATAGTACTTGCCTTCTCCTAGTTCGAACTCTCTTGCCTCCCTCGGAATTGCCTGCAAATTCCTTATTTTCAATGCCAAATTTAACCGACTAGATTCAAAATTAATTTTCAGTTTGTTCCTAAGCGGTAGATTGTGAATAATAAATAGAGTCTAGATAGGATAGCAACAAAGTTATACCCAAACAAAGTTATGGACTCTTTGTGGGCACCAAACATCACTTGAAACCTTGTACTTACAAAATCAATTGAACTTGGCTAAGGTTGCATTTTTCTTTTTAAGGTATGTATTAGATAGTTTAATTGGATTTTTTTTCTTATAGTTTGTTGAAAACTAAAGAGTTAGGTTTATCTATAGGGTTGTGTCTGTTTATGAATAGGTGTCAGTTATGGGTAGTTACTTACAGTTATGTATTTGTGTATATATATGTACTGTGTTTCTGTATTAGAAACAGAGATAATACCAATATAATTTCAGTTTTATATTCATTTCCTAGTCTTGATTCTTCATATTGTTTCCGCCTAACTGGCGGGTGGCATTATTCTCCACTCGCCAGGCCATTCCATCTTTCAAATTCAACATGGTATCAGAGCCTACTTTCCTAGGGTATTTCAAACATCAAAATTGTATTTTTCCTTGTGATGTATTCTCCGGTGAAAATTCCAGATTGTTGTTTTGCCCTTGGACCTTTTGGTGAAGTTTGAAGGCTTTTTGGGTTGGTTGCCAAACCTCTTTCCGGGGTGTTTTTGGTATAACCATATTTGTTTCTTTATATTCGGTATACCATACTTAGTCCCTAGGGTTTTCATGTTTGGCACCTTGTTTATTTTCGGAAGCTTCTTTTGTTATTCACTTATCCTATAAGAGGTATAAAAAACAATCATGTGGTTTTCTTGGTATTCATACAACAATCTATGGGCTCTACTACATCCCCTTTGCTGCTCATAATTTGGTTGCTCTGCCGTTCTTGATGGAGATTGTTGAATGGCAAATCCTAGAATGCTTATGCTGCTGTGAGGGTGTTCGTGTTAATCCTCGCCCTTGGTGACTTCATTCCCAAGGTTGTTTGTGACAAGCTTCGCCCTGGTGCCTTCATTCCCAAGGGTTGTTTATAGCATTTGGTAGGGAATATCCCGACCGACATAACTTTACCCCGGCCGGTGTGCCTTTGTCTTTGTCTTCTTGTCTTTGCAGGTAACAGGTCGGGCTTCTAGTGAAGAACCCGGTCGAGGTCCGACCGGGAGTTGCTCGAGCGGCAGTGTCGACCACCGAGCGGTAGCCCTTAGGCGAGAAAGCTGACGAAGGACACGTGGCGGCTCCACGCGTTGACAGGCAGGGCACCCGGGACGACGACACGTGGTGGCTACGTGGGAAGCATGCCGAACAGCCGGATTTGTGTCTCCGGTTCCGCGGCTATAAATACCCGCGATAGCTACAGTGTGGAGGACTTTTGGACGATCGATAGGTTGTTGTTAGAGAATCCCGACCGCAGTCAGTCGGTACTCAGAGCAACCAAGTAGATTGTACTTAGGGCTTCACTGTAATCAATAAAAGACATTTACTTGCTTTAATTGGTCTCGTATTCACTTAATTACTACTTACGTGGCAATTAACACTATCAGCATTGTTCCTCCGAAGCCATCCAACACTGTTATTCTCTAGCTGCTTTTAATCTTCATTTGTAATGTAGAGTGTATGTTTTAATCCAAGCTTGAAACTTCTAGATGTTCCAGCTTGAGGGGGAGTGTTGAAAACTAAAGAGTTAGGTTTATCTATAGGGTTGTGTACGTTTATGAATATGTGTCAGTTATGGATAGTTACTTACAGTTATGTATTTGTGTATATATATGTACTGTGTTTCTGTATTAGAAACAGAGATAATACCAATATAATTTCAGTTTTATATTCATTTCCTAGTCTTGATTCTTCATATTGCTTCCGCCTAACTGGCGGGTGGTATTATTCTCCACCCGCCAGACCATTCCATCTTCCAAATTCAACATAGTTAAATACTGAAATGATCCATTGACTATAGTAAAATTACTAATTTTATCCCTGACTTGTTTTTTTGTTTTTTTTTTTTTTTTAAAGTTCTCAAACTTTGTAAATCTTAATTAAATTGGTCATTAGTTCGGTCAACGTCAGAAATTTGTTTAATTCGAGGGATTGCTGAAATTTTACATCACAATGCAAGCATCATTTCCTATCTTATTGAACGAAAAGTTAATTATCAAAATAGTCCCTTGACTATAGTGAAATTACCAATTTAGTCTCGAATAATTACCGAAATGGACGCTTGACAATTGCAAAACCATTAATTCGGTCCCGAATTAAACAGACATATGACAACTAAACAAATGAATAATCAAATTAGTTAAGATTTTTAAAATTGAAGACTTAATTACATTTAAAAAAGTATTAAAGACTAAATTAGTAGTTTCGCTATACTCAAGACCATCTCGTTAATTAACTTTTTTTCATTTATCAAAAAAAAAAAAAAAAAAAAAAAAAAAAAAAAAAAACTCTTTTTCATAGTAACTAAGTAATAGGATGGGACCTGGAAGTCTTTGTTTATGAGCATTCCGACGGTGCAAAACGCCGTCGCCGAGAAACAGATTACTGCCTGAATCTCCAACACCACCGTGTAGCTGATCTCACCCGTTTTCACCACCTTCTTATTCATCAGCTCGATCAACGGCAAAATAGCTCCGTACAGGGCCGCCGCCGCCACCATCATCGCGAACCCAAACACGTAGTCCGCCGTCGACTCCCCCTTCCACCGGTCCCCGTTAGACCGGACCGCCAAAACCGCCGCCGCCATCGTCAAAACATAAACGGCGTTGACGGAATGCGCCGTGAACTTCTGTTTCACCAGAACGAAAGCGAAGCCGGCCGTGAAAGCCAGCTCGGTGGAGATAACCAGCCCAGCCGTGGAAGCCGGGAGCCTGGCTTCCCCGTAGGCGTAAAGGTAATCGTCGAGCCCCTGAAGAACGCCGATCGCCGCG